CTTTTCTCACCTATAACACAGTAATAATCTTTAAGGGGGGTGGGGCGTGAGATGTGGGATTAATTAATTGGCACATCATATAATTAATTAGAGTCAGATTTTGATGAATTAATGAATTCAATTCATTTATTCAGTTAGTCACACACTTCCATCACCCTGATTTTATGCGCATTTTGAAATATCACATCAGAAAAGAGTACGGAAACGCCCAATTTGGGGGGGGGGGAATTCTTAATTTGCAAAATAAATAAAAAAACAACACTTCCTGGTAAACTGGCACTAAATATAACCAAGAAAAGTAGGAGAAGCCACTGAATATAATAATTTTCATATATAATAAATGCGCTCGAAACAATCTTTTCTTTCAGAGGTGAATGCTGCTGTTTGGGAACGCAGTCGTAAGACAGTTCTGGGAGGAAATTACAGAAATACTTTGACAGACTTTGCTCAGGCATTTCAGAGTGACCAAAACAACCTTTAAATGCTGTGCAAATTAAGAGATTTTTTTCCATCACTCGTTTTTGATGCGGTACTTCAAAATGCACATAAAAACAGGGTGATGGAAACATAGCTAATGACTAAAACTGGTTACTCATCTTTGTGAACTGTTAATTAAAAGAACCAATATATTCATTTAAGAATCAGAGTAGCCTGACTGATTGCTCTGTGTATTTATGAATCACTAAATTGAACCCGCTGATATGTTCTTGAATCGAACTATTGATCGCGTTATTGTTTCTTGCCATTATTTTGCGGTATGCAGTCTTTTAATTTCATCAAATTCAATACAAACTACAAAGTCACATTCACAGCTCAGGTAAAATATGATTTCTTCAGTTGTTGTGCTGAAGATTAGATAAAAAGCTGTGCAGGAAACTCTGCTGTACGGTTATATTCATGTTTTATGTCATATGGGTTTGGAATGACATGCGGGTGAGTAAATATTTATTTTTGGATGAAGTAGGCCTATTTCTGGAAAAAAAAATGCAGTAGAGATGAAAGTAAAATAAAAACAAACACAAAATAACTCTAAAGGTAAATAAACTGTTAAAAAAAACTGTAAAAAATAATATCCAGGATTGAAAAACTTGTTATAAGAACCTTGAAACATTAGATTCTTCTTTAGCAAGAGATTCTGCTCAAGTCCTTCCGAGGCACTTTGAGCTGGCCTTTGATATTTGTATAATTTTTTTTTATCACTGCTCTTGCTACACTACAAAAAACAGAAAACACAGTGGTCTCACAGGAAAGTAGTCATCCAAAAAAAAATCAATTCTGAGAGGGAAAGATGCGAGTGAAAAATATATCATGATATCTGAAACGAATGAATCTCCTTTTGCCCCACCAGGTGAGGGAAGACTGGAAATATGTTGCCATGGTGATTGATAGAATATTCCTCTGGATGTTTGTGCTGGTGTGCATTCTGGGTACCGTCGGATTGTTCCTCCCACCGTGGCTGGCTGGAATGATCTAGATCCTCATGTGGAGTCTCTGATTGGCTCTGAGTGGGTGGGGAATGTTCTTGTCAATCACATTTGACTTCAGTGGCCTCACTAAACCTACGCTCTCATGAAAATGAAGTGATGTTTATGGAGTCAATTTAATGCCACATATACTCGCAAAAGAATTGAAGTATTGCAAAAGAAAATAAAGTTTTGCAAACGAAAATGAAAGGATTGAGAAAAAAATAAATGTGCTTTTTGCAAAAAAAAAAAAAGAATTGCAAAAGAAAATGAAGTATTGCAAGAAAAAATTAAGTTTTGCAAACAAAAATAAAGAATTTCAAAACTATAAATGAAACAGAGCAAAGCAATGATTTCGCAACACATATTTTCCATGGCCATAGCTACTAATTTATTTGCAACGCTGCTTTTATTATGCGTTTCAGTCAAGTGTGCACTTGTGATACTGTTTTTTCCCTTTGTACTTCATGTTTCTGCGCATTTCACTTTCTGGCATTGTTTTGACATGGGGGTGGAGTCAAGGGACTGGGGCGTGTATAACAGGCCTGGACACGCCTTCCTGGAAGTTACGTCATCGGCCTGAGACGCAGATCACATCTGATCATGGCACAGTCCTTGAGCAGAGGCATGCGGGTGGATCGTTTCCTTTTATTCACAAGCATTAAAGGGGTCCTATTATGCTCTTTTACAAAGTCTTGATTTTGTTTTGGGGATGTATTAGAATAGGCTCTCATACTAGGTTGTTCAAAAAACACATTATTTTTCACATATTTTACACAAGCGGCAACCTCCCGCTCTCTCTCGTGAAGCCAACAAGTGACTTAAACTGTAATTCATCAACTGGCCGCTAGAGGCTGGCTGCAAAAGGGAGCCAATCCCATAGACTCCCCATGTTAAAATGCCCAACTTTAGAGCAGAAAAAAACGTTTACAGCCTGGTTAAAAAAATTATTTTGGTCTATATAGCCTTCATGACAACTGTGAGGGGGGTGATTTTTTTTTATAACTCATCCGTTTAAATGATATTAAGCCTTAAATTTCTGCATAATTAAGGGCGTGACCACTTGAGTGACAGGTGGATTACTGCTGCTAGGTGGGCGTGGCTTCAGCAACCTGCTCCCGACTCTTTGCCCATTTTCGATTTTCCAGGAGTGATATTTGAGAGCGATTTAACCCCGGATGATTGTAACCACTCTAAGCTCGTCTGCCTTGGGGAAAGCTAGCGTGTCTCCGACATAGTGATAACACTCGTTGCCTTCTCTAGTGCAGCTCAACCAGGTCTCTATGCATTGTAATCCAAACGAGTCGTTCGTTGTAGTTTTTGAAAAAATAAAATATCTCCTTTTGAAGTGGACTTTGAGCTTTGTAACTTTGCAGATCTTTTTTATGCTCAAACAGCAACATTACAGACTAACTAAAGTTGAAAAAGTGAAAAAGCATAATAGGACCCCTTTAAAACATGCATGGTTTCGCTTTATTAACTATATGTGTACTAACAGCGTATGCTCAAGTTAAAGAAGTTGCTAACATGAACATCTGCTGTTTAGTTCTCTCAATGTGCACACTGTTATAGCATTAAAATGTGTATTGTTTCGTTTTGTTAAGTAAATATTAACGGTGTTTGTTAAAATCTGTTAACCTGTGGGAGGACGTCAGCGCACAGAAGCATTCTTTGTTTATATTCGTTCAAAGTTACTGCGATGTAATTAACTTGATAAACTGTACATCATTAAAAAGGTCTATGACTCAAGCTTCATTTTTTAAATCTTAGTGACAGTCATTTCTTGTCAGGAGTTATGTAAATGAAAAATTAAGTCAATACCTTTTTGTTTGCAAAACTTCTTTTTCTCGCAATACTTTATTTTCTTTCGCAATTCTTTGCAAAAAGCACAGTTATTTTTTCTCAATACTTTCATTTTCGTTTGCAAAACTTCAATACTACTACTACAATACTGCAATACTTCTTTTGCAATTACGTATATGTGGCATTGACTTGACTCCATAGGATGTTTAATGTCAGTGCTTCTCACTGCAACAGGAAGTTAGTAGTGGGATTCTGTGCACATGAAGGACTGTTTTGTGCTAAATGCAAGTTAATAAAAAATGTAATGAAACCAAATGAAACTACTGTGATCATTTACTCACCCTCATGCCTTTCCAATGATTTTATTTCTTCTGTGGGATATAAGGAGAAACTCTGAATAGCTCTAATCACTCTTTTCCATTCAGGTAAAGCTTTCAGACTTAAAGGGATAGTTCACCTCAAAATGAAAATTCTGTCATCATTTACTCATCTTCAAGTTGTTCCAAACCCAGCAGAGTTTCTTTCTTCTGCTGGACACAAAAGAAGATATTTTGAATAATGTGGGTAACTAAACCGTTTCTGGTCCCCATTGACTTCCAATGTATTTTTTCTCATAATATGGAAGTCATTGGGACCAGCAACTGTTTGGTTGCACACATTTTTCAAAATATCTTTTTTGAAAGAAACTCATAAAGAATCAGGTTTAGAACAAAGGGTGAGTAAATGAAAACAGACTTTTCCTTTTTGAGTGCACTATCCCTTTAAAAGGGGACACAAAATCATAATTAAGACATAAGACCTTGTATATCCAAGTCTTCTGAGGTCGTCAGTCTGTGTGCAGTAACTTAACTTGTATTTAACCTGGAACATTCCTTTCAAGAAAACTGGGTGAGTTGATTCAGTCTGTCATCTTAAGTCCTGTACATTTTTTGAATACTAAACCCACTGATATAAAACACAGAAATCAACATAAAGAATACATCTCGCTTAATGGTTTACACTGGAAACTATTTCAATTATTTAAATGAATAGTTTTCCCCTATTTTGGGCATTGCATCACAGCACATGGATCTCAGTGTGTGAGAATGACCTACAGGAGATTTCAGCTGTGAAACATGACAGCAGATAAAATTGTGCAATAGTTTGTTCAAGTCTGTCCTGAATGTGATATGAATTCATAAAGATCATTCCCAAGGTCTGCTTGTATTTCAGCTGTTCACCTTTACAAACACTGAATATATCAGACTGAAGATGCCAAAAGAAGCAGGTCCATCTTAACTTGTGAAATATTACTGACATTATTTATGTCCATATTTCGGAAACAGCTTTTAACAAATACTTTTTACAAAAATTACTATGTCGATTAAGGTTGCAAGATTATTCCTTTTAATAAACTAAATGAACTTGCAGGGGCTATTTATAACAGGAAGAATTACTATTTAAAATGCTAAATTTCAGATGATTTAGTAACTGAATGTTAAGATGTCCATTAAAAAGCCATATGGAGGAGTGATGAAACATCTTCAAAAGACAAGAAATTAGTCCATTAATAGCAAATGAAAGCCACATGAGATTAAATCTGTCTTTCAAGTATTTCGTGAAGGATTTAAGATTTTGCCATTAAATGCTGACATTTCCCAATGAAAGGTTTAGCAAGACATGTTACCGTTATCGTTCCTGAGCAATACCGAAATAGCTGTCAAGGAAAATCTGCTCTAATTCCCCTCTCTCCTCTCAGGAGGTGGATGAGTTGACCTACAAGAGAAGAGGTCACAGGTTGAGTTAAATCAGTGCCTCAGAGCAGATGGAAAGCTTAGAGTGAACCAGTGCTGTCGTCCTCTTCAAGAGCATCACCGATATTGGATTTCACCATCCACACCATAATGAAAGCTGTCAAACAACTAGGCTGCCACTTTAAAACATGTACTAACAGCAATTCCTTTATCTGTTGGGTATGTCTTTGTAAATAAATACTGGTTCAACGACATATTCATCATAAGTTCTCTTTAAAATGTTCGATACCCATACATTTGTATAAGTAACATGCCAGTTGTTAAGAATCAATTTCAGATTTTGACAAAAATATACCGTTCCAAAGAAACTTTAGAGATAAAAGTTGGTTGATTGAATTAAACCAAAACCAATGCATGGGCTGTTCATCCTGCTTTGGTTCATACATATTTAAACAAATGTCCACTGGCCAAATATAAATGATCTGCAGAAAAAGCCACAGTATTTGGTAATAAATGTAATGATTAATCATTTCATTAATAAGGATTGTTTATGTTTAGATTCTCAGAAACTTGAATGTACAGGTATGTGGTAGTAAATAGAGAAGCATCTCTTACTGCTGAGGTGCTTTGAATGTTTTTACTTATAAATGCATTTTCTAAATGACGTCTCAGATTTGATTCTAGGAGATCACTATCTGTTACCCGGGCTGGACTGGATAATCTGCAATTTCAAGAAGGAAATCCCCTGTACCCCGCTGAAAGACCAGTCTGCTCACCAGCATATCATGTTTTGGATGCTGATGTGCTGGTGTCTGACTTTTATCTTGGTGAACCAGATTCAATGGTTACTGTAGGTTTTTATAGTTAAAGGAACAGTTCACCTAAAAATGAAAATTTGTTGAAAATGTACTTCATCCAAGATGTAGATAAGTTTGTTTCTTCATCAGAATAGATTTGGAGAAATGTAGCATTACATCACTTGATCACCAATGGATCATCTGCAGTGAATGGGTGCCGTCAGAATGAGAGTCCAAACAGCTGATAAAAACAGCACAATAATCCACAACACGACTTCAACCTATCAATGAAGCGAAAAGCTGCATGTTTGTAATAAATAAATTCATCATGTAGATGTTTTTTATGTCAAATCATTGCTTACAGCTAAAATATGAGTCCTCTATTCATTTTGTTGCTTTCTCTAGTGAGAGACATGCTGTTTCTCCAGTAACAGAAAGCAATGCTGATCCACACTGGAGATTTAGTACTATACTGCATTTACATTTAATAATTTAGAAGGCTTGTACACAGAAGAGCCAACAATGACAAGTTAACAATCTAAGAAGTGCAGTAAATGAGGAAAAGACAAAACAGGAAATTAGTTAAAGGGTTATTAAAATACAAAAATTTAAATTACCCCATGATTTACTCACCCTCAAGCCATCCTAGGTGCATTTGACTTTCTTCTTTCAGACGAATACAATCAGAGTTATTTATAAGCTTTATAAAGCTTTATCCAAGCTTTATAATGGCAGTGAATGGTGGTCGAAATTTTGATCATTGATCACCATCCATCATAAAAAGTGCTCCACACGGCTCCTGTTGCACGCGCTTTCACGAGAGAGTGGCAAAACAAAATACCGGTCATGAATTAGAAGTACAAAACGAGGATTTGTAAAAAAAAAAATTATCATTGGATTTTGATATAGGCCAAGAGGAGACTGGTTTTCCTTTGCTGTAAACAAAACTTGCTTCTAGTGAGACTAGCATATTCTCACCGGAGCTTTATGCTATGCCTACGTTCTACTTCATCCGCTGGAACGACACTCTTGTGAACACGTTGTTTTGATTGTGCTTCAGCTCTGTTTTTCATTGCGGAAGAAGGTGGTTCAGGGTACTGGCAACCAGGGCCGTACGCAGGTTTTTACAAATACCTAGGTCCCAAAAAGGAGATTGGTAGGGGGGTTCGGGGGCATGCTCCCCTGAGAAAATTTAGATTTTCCTGACCTACATGTGTGCATTTTAAGATGTTTTAAGGCTCACAAATTGGATAATAATATAGGTTTAAAACCAAGTCAGTGGGCAGTAGTAGCCTAGAATAAATTATTTTTCAAGATAACAGATTCTTAAGCATGAGAATCAGATTAAATGTTGCAATGAATGATCCACGCTACAAACTGGAAATAGAGAAGATATAGTTTGCTTAAGTTTATGAATGTAATAATCCTGGGGCAAGTTCAAGCTCAAACCTGTGGGCAATGTTTTGCTATGGTTTCCGGGTTGAACGACATGTTTCCTGGAAACGGTGTGCAACGGGGTTTGAGATACGTTTTCTCTTGTTTGGTGGGTGTGTCAAAAATGTCAGCCCAATCAGCAGCAACATGTAAATAAACCACGCGGTATTAAAGAGACAGCTTGCACAATGTAATTAACATCCAAATAAATTCACAAGAGCAAGTATATTGTTTGCACATGTTTATTTACATTAAAGGCAAAATAACTGAAATAATAAGGGCACAAGTATAGATCTGGAACTTCTTTAAGTCTGTCTAAATATCATTTAGTAATTGCAATGTCTTCTGGTCCATATCCTTTCCTTAGGAAGGTGTGCAAGACACTGATTCATGTAACATAAAAATACTATTTATATATTTTGCTATTGTATTGAGGAGTGACACTTACATAAACTTTTCTATACTCCTCTGATTATATAATGGTAAATATTACAATATCATAGCACAACAACAGTGATCAGCAATAATGATGAGCCGAATACTCACAATAAAAATAATAACGTCATGATCATAACACAGTCTCGTATTAAACACGTGTTTATACCGATTTCATCAGGCTCCGAAAATTCTTCAAAAAGTCTCTCTCCGGTACAGAACTGCATAGGTTAAACTTACGGGTCTATCACGTGATGAACGAACGACTCGAAAAACCAGAAGACTCGAGAGATGAACTAATCAATTTTCTTTCCGGCTCAGACTGCATTGGTTAAGCTTATGGGGCTGTCACGTGATGAACAAACGACTCAAAAAACCCAAAGACTCGAAACTACTTGTCTAATTCCAGTACAGAACCTATAGGATGTTGCGCATGTGCGACTGAACGAATCACACCCGAAGACGACTCGTTCCTCTGAGTCACATTAAAGATTCGTTCAAAATGAACGAATCGTTCAAGAACGACCCATCACTAATAAACATATAGATTGATAAACAGGGAGCGAACTACGGGGGAGCTAGTGGGAGCTCGGCTCCCCTTAATAAGACATGGGCTCCCCTGAAAAGGTGATTTGTGAAATTTTGGGGGGTCTCAAAAAATATTGACAATGTGTTATTTTGACGTGCAATTTCAGTTTTGTGTAATGTGATCATCGTGGATTATTATGTGTAAAATTGCAAAAATATCATTCATTCATGCATGACGGCGATTTAAACCTAATTCACTTTAATAAAGATAACTATACATGCTATTCTTGTCATGAGCATCAAGGTGTGGGGGCGCTGCGGTGCAAATTCCACTCATGTTTAGTACATGTTAACTCAAAGATTCGTAGAAAAAATATAAACGCTAGTCTGGTCGATTCTGTGTTAAGGTAAGGCATGTTATTCGCAATTATGTGTTGTGGCTGGGTTGTTATAGATCTGCGTGACTCGATGTCTTAGGCCTAATTGAACGGAGGAATTATGGTATTCTTCTGTAGCCTGACGACGAGTAACTCTAACCGTTGTTCATGTGAACTAAGACAGCCTGATGCTTTGTTTATAGACTATTTGTGGGTGGCTGTTTGTTGCTTCACCTATAAATTTGTGTCGATAAAGTATAATAGGGTAAATCCTGTATAGTGATTTATCCTATATAGTGCTTGCATAAAGCAAGTAGTGCATACACTTGTAGCTGTTATGTATCTTTGTAATTCATTGTAAGCCCCCTTTTGAGGCACGCGCATGCGCACGAAAAACAAATATTTGTATTTAATTCATGCTAAATATAAGTTAGACAGCTTAATTTATGCTAAACAATGTTATTATAGTTAACTAAAACTAAACCCATAAGAAACATTTTCTCTACTTGAAATAAAATAAATGTTAATCAAAATAAAATACTAAAAACACAAAAATAAATTATTGTTATATGATACATTATTATTAATTATTATTATTATAAAAATATTTTATAAAAA